TATTGTATTGTATTGTATTGTATTGTATTGTATTGTATTGTATTGTATTGTATTGTATTGTATTGTATATTTAAACCCCTAAAAATCTGCTTCCTTTCTTATCATGCAATGACAATGTTTGGGGAAGACCATTTAGAATAGAATAGAGTAGAGTAGAGTAGAGTCCAATAGAATAGAATAGAATAGAATAGAACAGAACAGAACAGAACAGAATTCTTTATTGGCCAAGTGTGATTGGATACACAAGGAATTTGTCTTTGATGCATATGCTCTCAGTGTTCATAAAGAAAAAATAAAATATATTCATCAAGAATCATAAGATATAACAAACACTTAGTCATAGGATACTAATAAGCAATAGTAATACAGTTTTAGTAAATGATTTGACAGTGTTGTGGGAATTAGTTGTTTAGCAGAATGATGGCATTCGAGGGGGGGAAACTGACAATTTAACTGACAACAGACATGCATCCCTGGAGGACTCCATCCAGAGAGATGAATGAAGGTGGCCACTTTACCCTTCATATTTACTGCCTCACATATTGTACTTTACCCTTCATATTTACTGCCTCACAAGGAGATATTGTGTGGCAAAATATCACTTTATGCTATTAGAATAATAAAGACACCCAAGCTTGCTTGGGACCAGCTAATTAATTGCAAAAGATGTAGCACATTTGTGCTTTCAAACAATAAACCTGTTTTGAATTATTACCAATGTCTGTGATTATTTTCAATTGAGCAGTCACTATGGTACTTTCTCCCTTCAGAAAAATTCACGTAATGAATTTTCTATCATCTATTTATATTGCATTTCAGCCAAATGTGACTCCTAGCAATTATATGAACAAGTCCCTGTCTAGTTGTTTGCCCCGGACGTCCTCATAGGGCTAAGAAAAAGTGAGTGGCCAAAGTCACCCAGCTGGTTTCTGGACCTAAGGAAGGACTAGAAGTCAAATTTCCCCACTTCTAGCCAAGCATCTTAACCACTAAACCAAATTGGTTTTTAGTTCAGTTATAACACCACACTATAGCAGGACTTTTTGAATTGTGGCTAGTTAAACAAACTATATTAAGCTGCCCAGATCACTTGGTTGAGTTGGGCAGCTATAGAAATTGAAGAAGCAAGCAAATAAAGTCGTCAGTTTCATACATACAACTAAATCCATAAATGAGAGGGATAAACAGATCACACTAAGCCAACATTGACCAAATTGAATTGAATTTAGTGTAATGTGTGAACCAGGCCACTGTATGTATACGTAGCATAATATAATGTAAAGTCATATATCACAACAGTGCCTATAGAAAATCAGACACACAGACAAATGTTTCATAGGCTGCACTTTAACAGACGTACCTCACATCCTTTTGCCATTGCAAACCCTCCTCCAAGCAACAAGATTATATTCCAAGGCACACTTTCTTGGGCTTTGCTCCAAGTTAGCAAGGGTTCATTCTCAACATTTGATGCTAGATAAAAAGATTTGTAATGAAGAAGGACAGAAATTAGCAATACAGTCTATGACTGCCTTCCCAATTTAGAACCTCCAGATGTCTTGGGAGTACAAGTCCTGGAATCTTTAACCAGTCAGCCCAGGGATAAAAGTGGTTAGGAGGGATGGAAGTTACAGTCCCAAGGTACCACATTTATTTATTTTTTTGCATCGAGGTACCTTAAATCTGCTAACTTAAACAATGGATACAAAATCCAGGACTGAAATTTCAAGGATCTTCATACCAGTTGTATCATTGTAGCCACAGTCAGTGATCGAGATTCCCACAAGCAAAGACAATGGTGAGGCCAGCAGAAAGTGAGAAGTTGCTCCTACTGCTTTTTTGTCTACCCATGATCATTCTGTTTCTCTGTTTAGATAAAGAAATATCTCTGAAAGGATGAGCCAGCAGGTCATGGATACTTTAGTGTAGCCTTAAACTGGTATCCTTTCTGCATTTTTGCACAGTATGGTTATTATAAATTGGTTTTCTTTTGTATATGTCTAGAGGATCAGATATATCATATATAAGAAATAATCAAACAGAATCATCAATCTGTGTAGGAATTCTGGAAACTCAATGTAGCAGAGAGAATTATGTTGAGAAAGGCTGCCCTAAATCAGCAGCCCCCAATCATTTGGGCACTAGGGATCGGTCCCATGGAGAGAGGTTTTTCCGTGGGCCATATCGGGTGTGGTTTTGCATGCTGCCTGCATCCTGCAGATGGGGCTTTGCTTGTTTGAGCAGTTCAGTTTCTGTCATGCTATGGCCCAGTGCCGGTCCACAGACCTCGGATTGGGGACTCCTGCTGTAAATAATAGCTTAAATATGATGTGAATGAGCCTAGATAGAGCTGAGCTGACAGTCTGTTGCTCTTCTCCGAATCCAAGGCAACCATGATACATTCAGATGTTTTTGGGTCTTTTGCCAAGCCTCAAACTGGCTCTTTTCAAATAAACTAGTTAATATTAACTAAGATTTCCTAGTTCAGGCAACATGATAAACAGTGTCAAAGCAAATATAAGAGCAAATCCTCTGGAATGCTCATGGCTATGCCAGAGGGGGAGGGGAAGAGTCATAGGAGCTGAGTTCATGATGCTAACCTCTGAATTACTATCCTATTATACAGTAAGGGGCATCTCCTGTGTCATGAACTATCTTCCATTAAAGAAACCCAGTTATGATATTTTATGCATGAGATATAGTATGCAAATCAAAATTTCACAGACAAATGAACCAGGAATTGATTTGATACAGAGTTCTTCCGCATAATATAAATGCTAATGTTAACACCAGCATTTCAGATTCACAAAAACACTGAAAAGTAGTACATGGATTGGGCTTAAAAAGCCCCAGAGGTGAACGAAAATAGAAGCATATTCTATTTCATTCCTTAAGCCACCATACTGTTGCATTCCAAATATGATGGGCTATGATTTCCATAACCAGCATCCATTCAATCAGCTTATTCAGTCATTGGCTGTTTTGCTAGAAACAAGGAACAATAATGCAAGGAGGATACCAGATAGTAAACCTGACTTATATATCACTATGATATATATATGCATTTTTTTACTGAAACAACTTCAGCTTAAACAAAACATGGATCAGAAAATCTACCCTATTCCAATTTCTGGTCAAACAAAGCATGAATACATGCATGAATAGATAAATACACTTCCAGTAAATGTGATTTGTCACTTGCTGCAAAGAAAAAATGGAGAAATCCAACTAATTGAATCTGTAATCTTATCCTTTTAGTCAAATACTGTATATTTTAGGATGTAGTGTGCAGATATACTGTAATTTCAATATTTATCTGCTGACCTTCGTCTATACAAATATCAGAATAGAAATATTGAATATGTATGACCAACATTTTTACATTTGTCTTTGAAATCACCTTTTTGGCTTTACTTTTATCATTTGCTTATTACTTATCTGCTATTTGAGGTTTTGAATTTGATGTTTTCTTGCTTCAAATAAAAAAGTATTTAAAAATCCAATGCACACTCGGCGGGCATTTAAAAAAATATTTCGCACTTTGGATCTAGAGGGTTAATTTTCTACTCACAGTTCAAACATAACACTTAGCACAACAAATAATCCAAACCTTATCAGTAAAGGTTTATAAATGGATTTTTCCAAGGCAAGGCATCCTGTTAACTAAGAAAATTTGTATTACTAGACTAAGCACATTTATATATTTGTGTATTTATTTGTCCAATTTATATCCATCTCACAAAACAATTGAAATAGCTGTTTTGTGTCATTACTACAATTCTCCCTTATCCTGAGGACAAAGTTAGCCAAGTCACATGCTTTTCTGCAACACTGTCTTTATATGAATTACCCAAATGTCTGTAAATTAATCAATGTCTATATACTTCACCAGAACAGGTGCTATTGGAAGGAAAGGCAAACAATTATATTTGGGGAACTAGAGAGAGGGTCTTCAAAAGTCTTTGCTTCCATTGTCCTCCACAGTTTGTGCTGAAAAGAGCAGAGAACTTGGTGTTTCGTGGTGTACAGGGAAATTGGCACCTGACAGAACACATTATCAATGAACCCACTGTCATTGATAGTCGTCCCCACCCCCCCTTTCTGGATCATCATTGTTCTTCCCTCTTCAAGATTCTTTAGGGCAAGCTTGAATATGCAATATATTGGCCTATCAATAAAGGAAAATATTTTCAGCTCAGGTTTGAAATGAGGGATCGTTAGTGCTCTCTGAGCTTGCTTCTTTTCTTGCAGAGGCTTCATTACCCTCGCTAGGTAACAACCACAGTGCTAATAAGGAGTGCGGTTTGCTGTCAGTTGATATTCTGATGGCTTGCCTGTCTGTGTGGTGAGGGGCAGTCTTAGGGATTCTTTGGTTGGGCTATTTATTAATGGCTCTTTGGCAATTTCTTGCGGTATTGCTATAATGCCAAAGAGCAAGCTCAGAGAGTACCAAGGGTCCTTCAATACATCTGCCTACATCTCTTTAAGTCAAATGTGGGGGGCCCTCTCCCCCCCCCCCCGGATCACATTGTAGAAGGCAACCATGTGATCCTGGGGAAAAGTGCTGAAAGGTGCTAGCTGAAAGACTGTGTACTCCAAGGCACCCTTTTCCTTTTCAGTCCAAAGTAAGCCAAAGTCTTAATATCAATTAAGTATTTTCCCATGTCCCTCTTTACCTAACTGAATGTTTTTAATACTGTATAGCAATGATTGGGAACCTTTTCGGCACCGAGCGCCCAAACCAGAACGTGCATGCGTGTGTGCACCGCATGTTTGCACACCAGACTGCTGGAAACCCGAAGACCAGCTGGCCAGCACGCGAATGCACCCTGGCCAGCTGGACTTTGGGTTTCCAGTGCTCCGGCATGCCCGAAGACCAGCTGGCCGGCGCACATGCATATACCGGAAACCCAAAGACCAGGTGCGTGTGCCCATAGAGAAGGCTCTGCGTGTCACCTCTGGCACGTGTGCCATAGGTTCACCATCACGGATGGTGGCTAAAGAGGGAAACCTATCAGTCAACCTTTTCTATAGGGCTGTGGAAGCCAGTGTTACAATACACTGTAGAGCAGTGGTTCTCAACCTTTCCAATGCCGCAACCCTTTAATACAGTTCCTCATGTTGTGGTGACCCCCAACCATAAAATTGGT